AGCACCCCCGATCAAGCGGGAGCATTTGGTCCATGTGTTGAGTCGCCGTCTGTGACTTTGATGAAAACAACCAAGTGCCCAAAGGGGAAGTGCTTGGATGTGTTGGGCCCAGATTCCCTGGAGTCTTGAGAGTGGTTCCTGTGTGCTTTCATGTGCTTTCTATCAATATTGCATCACAGTTTATTTGTTCGTTTTCTTTTAACAACCGATGCCTCCAAGGATGAGGGCTGTTGAAGCTTGGCAGCAGATGAACATGAAATTTGTTGACTTCCTGGAGTGGCGAGGGCCATGGCTCCGATCCTCATAACAGAACTCTTGACAACTTGGGATGTTCATAGCAAGCCCTGTAAAGTATTGTACATTTAAATTTACAAGATGTGGATCCCTGAAACTCTTTCAGACTGAGAAAACCGTAGGTGAAGCACATATCATCACATATCTATACATATCAGCATCATCAGCAAACTAGTCGAAGTGAAGCACTTGTTTTTGAGGGGCATACCAGCCAGAGTGATTAGCCGCTCACTGTTTGACATGCACATAGAAGTCGTAGGATCTCCTCGTGCTTTCAGCGGTTGTAGAGCGATCGGACATGACATGAGGACTCTCACAACTTGTATAGACCGAAATGGAGAAACGATCTCAGCGAATGCTCTGCCATGTAGAGCCAGGACAAACCAACCATCCTTTTTGGCATTTTTTCGAGACGGGCATTGTCAGGACCAGTGACTTGGACCAAACCATCACACGTGGATTCGTCGATTTTTTTTGCCTTTCGGAGGCCTCAAGGATCCCCTCAACCTGTGCTCCGCCGAGAATGGCCCCTTGGCAGACTGACCGCCACGTCCGTGGTGCGGGGGGGCTGGACTTCCGTTCCCACGGGTCCGCACGTCGAGAGAACGGTGAGGCACAGGTCTTTTGCTGGACTTTGTCAACGATAAGAAGGGTCATGGAGGTTGCCAATGGGAAGCAGAAACCGAGCCAATGGGCCTCAATGGCGCCTCAGCTGAGATTTGGAGGGAGAGGAGGGAGAAGTTGGAACCATCAGGAATCAGTTGAAGCGTTGGACAGAATTAAACCTCATACTAACCCCAGTGCATAAAGTGATGCATTCACTCGAAGAAGAAGAAGAAGAAGAAGAAGAAGTAGCAGAAGAAGAAGAAGAACCTCAGCCAGTGGGTGAATGACTGAAAAGGCCGGACAGTCCCGCACGAAGGAGCCCCTCGATTTTCAGGTTTGCCAACTTTGTGATTTGGCCAGGTGGACATGCACAAGAGATAAAAACAGGCACATCTCAGTCATTAAGATGTGAGCAGAATGATCGAATTCCACATCCACACACACTTTCTATAAAAGTCCATGGTTCCTGTATGTGCATAGACCTGGGTGCTGCCTACCCTGATGCAGGTAGCCCAATGCCTCAAAGTGTAGGGGCTTGTCAGGCCGTGCCATGCCGTGCACATTCACCGGAAACATGGGTGTGTATTTAATAGGAAGCAGCCGGATAGACAGGTCTATTTTCCTTCTTCCAGGTCTCCCTTTGCTAATACAGCCCCTTCTTCGCGACACGCGGCGAAGCCGAAGCCGTTGGGGTGGGGGGGTGAAGCCGTCCCGACCCTGACCCTTGGCCCCCGCCGCCCCCCTTTTTTACCCACATCAATTTTGCCGAGACTCGAGACTTTTGGGCTGGTGTTGAGTCGAAGTACACTAGCGATCGAGGACACTACGTGCGAAGTGCGTAAGACAATTGCGCACCAATAAGAGCCTCTGTACCGCCTCCCAGGTATGATCAAAGAGACTTGAATGCATTTTGTATAATTGGTCCAATTGTGCGAAAAAGGATCGACTTGCAGCATTGAGCGTTTTCATTTTTTTGAGACAGGACCGATTTTGTGGCACCGGACAGTCACATTCCAGATCCTTGCATATCTGGATCCAACAGATTCACTCGTCCGAATCAATGATGGTGACCTTCATCCGAAACTGAGACCACCACGACCACTAGAACCATGACATTCACCAGCAACTGAGTGTACAGCGCTGCGGGCTTCGTGCTCCGCTGGGCTGCTAGTTGCCGGAGCGGAGAAGGTCTTTCGTGCGGAAGACTGTCGTTTCACAGGCCTCTATAGGGCTGAATTCAACGAGAGATGTGCCACAATTTCCGCGAAGTCGAGGAAAGCACGAGATTCCAAGAGCTCTTTTTTCAAGAAAGCGCAGGTGTCGTTCTTTGGGTTGAGCCAATTGCATCAACGTTTTGCTTGGTTGAAATCGTGTCTACAGCAACAAACCACTGAAGTCATTTTGCAGTGCTTCCGGGTGCGGCAAAGGCACAGGAGAGGCGGGTGTCTGTCTTAGGCAGTGTTTCCTGTTGCCTCGTTCTGAAACACTGGAAGCACGGTGTTTCCAGACCGGACGACGAGCGAGCTGGTTGGTTTGCTTCGAGGTGGAGGGAGAAAAGAAACGAGATCAAAACAATTCCGGTCAGCTTTTGGGGCATTTTTCAGCGTGGAAGCTTTCTATTGTTTGGATTCTCTAAAGATAGCCTGCCCAAAGAATGCCCGCAAATCAAGAGGACAACAGCCTTTTTGTTTAATTAGTCCGAAACAAACAACAATAGGCAATAGGTTCTATTTTAAGAAAATGATTTTGAGTGGTGTTCAGTTCGGCACTCTGGCACTTCGAGCCGCAACTGCGCAGATCCAGAGTTCAATCGATGGATTTCGATCCTTCAAAGCCACCATATTTTTTGATCAGACCTGGAGACCATCACCCCTCCCAATAAGGAGAAAAGACTTCGGTCGGAGCAATTCCTCTGAAATTCCACGGACCGGGAAACAAGCGCGGCGCCCTTCACCCAGAAAGCACGAGCAGAATTTTTGTATTATATACATTTATCATAAATAATGTAGCAATTACTGTAATTCATTCATTCCTTGTTTATATCAATTTTTCTTGTTCTCTTTTTGGGATTGGATCAACTTTGGATCAACGTCCGTTCCTTTTCTTTTTCCCAGCTGACCTGGTCACTGACCTCCTTCCTTGGCCGGCAGAATTCACCCCCCCCCGCTCCGGTTTGGGGGTCCTGCCGTATCTCGCAGGTCAGCGCTGAACGCGCTTCTGCGGTTGACCCCTGATGGACGTCCACGGCCACGGCCAGCACCTAGAGAGGCCGACCACTGGGCGATCGAGTGGAGTCAAAAACTGGGAGGGAGGGGGAAAACCGTGTGCGCTTCGATGTCCAGTGACGTGTGGCGCTTCGAAGTGATCGAACTCGTCGTTGAGCTGTTCCAGCCCTCAGACCTCCCAGGACTCCTCCTCCCCCAACTCGGAATGGCTCGTCGATTCCGGGGTGCAGCCCTGCTGGTGGCTGCGATGCTACTGTGCTGCTGGCACTGCAGCTTCGTAAGTCCACAGGGGGCCAGCAGGCGTGAGATGGCGGCCGGCTTAGCCACTGGGCTGGTTGGTTTGCTGAGCGAATCTGCTCGCGCATATGATTTGCCAGATTTGCCCTACGCTTATGATGCGCTGGAACCTTCCATTGACAAAGCGACCATGGAGTTCCACCATGACAAGCATCACCTGACCTACGTGACCAACATCAACAAGGCAATGGAAGGAAAGAGTCAGCCACCCCTTGTGGAACTGCAGAAGTCGGCAATCAAGGACGGGGCTGCCTTCCGTAACAGTGGTGGAGGTGCATACAACCACAACTTCTTTTGGTTGGAGATGGCACCTACTGGCAAGGGAGGGAAACCATCGGAGAAGTTGTCGAAGGCCATTGACGACTCCTTCGGGTCAATGGATGACTTCAAGGCAAAGTTCGAGGCTGCAGGAGCTCCCGGGGCGCGCTTTGGCTCTGGCTGGGTTTGGTTGGTTGTGACTGATGACAAGAAGCTGGCCATTACCTCGACCCCCAATCAGGACAACCCTTTGATGGATGGGGTTGAGGGCACGGCAGGCATCCCAATCTTGGGCTGCGACGTGTGGGAGCATGCCTACTACTTGAAGTACCAATATCGCCGTCCAGACTACATCAAGGCCTGGTGGGATGTGGTCAACTGGGATCAGGTGAGTGCATGGTATGAGGATGCCTTGGGCGGCAAGGCACCCACCGCGGACTCGGCGACTTCCGCCGCAGCCCTGAGCGGCCGCAAGACCTCATCGTCTTTCAATTTGAAGTTGGGCTTTGAAGCCAACGCAAAGTATGGATCCTGAAGGTCTTTGAGCAGCTTTGCGAAGTATGGATCTGGTACCACACCAGAATAGGCTTTTATGAGCTGAGACCCATTAGCAAGTGTGCTTGAGGCTGAAAATGGTGAACCCTTCACCCGGCGGGCTGAGTCGTGGGGCTTGATCAGACAAGAAGAACCCTTCCTGTCGTGTCACCTTTGAAAATACTCCTTGGAACTGAATGGTATATATAAACACAATCACAGGTATCCATCACTTGTGCCACTTGCCAACGATGCTTCTCTTTCAACCTGTTCCAAGACCTGGGACCCTCCTACTTCTCACCATAGGTGCTCGTGCATGAGGGTCACCGATATGGTCAACCGATATGGTCGCGGTCGAGTGGAGAACGACCGACTTCCTCTCTGTCATCCTGTTGAATGATGTTCACATCCGTCCATCCATGGTGTCCATGTTAAACATGGATGTTTAATGATGTTAAATGTTGTCATTTGTGCTTCTTGTGTTCTCTCCAATGGATTCCCAAGCATGCTTGGGTGGTGCAAGCGCCGCACCAAACACAGGCCTTTCCAGAGCCTGCCAAGCCGGTGAGAGAAGCCGACGCCTCAACGCCTCAAAGATTAGCGCCGGACATGTGTCGGGTGAGAATAGTCGCTGAAAGCATCTGAATGTAACAATGTTTCCTAATGTCTTCATGTATCTGTCCTTTTGAAAAACATGTAATGTGAACAGCTGGAATCACTTGGTCCACAGGTCTTTCCTGAGCCAAAGTCAAAGCCACCGGCGGCCGGCGGCCTCAGCGCGCCTCGATGAGCACGCCGGCCTCAGCACGCTTTCGCCTTCCATGCGACGATCCGACGCCCGACGCCCCGTCCGACGCCATCGTAGGCCAAGCCGCGGAACGCTCCACGGAACGATGTGGTGGTGGACATCGAGGTGCTGCGGACGGGCGACCCGAGAGGGGCGTGGCTCCGATGCGTGGTGCGGGTCTATTGATATCTAGTGATTGTCACGCTTTTTGGGGCTGGGTGTCGTTTAGGGCTTCTTCCAAAATGGTGACATGTTGGTGTCGAATGTCTCGGTTCTTGGTTGATCCATGAGAGGGAGGTGGTTCCATGGGGTCTCAGACGTAGAGAGTTTTGAATGCGGCCCCTCAGCGGATTTGCAAAACCCCCCTCAGGTCCTCAGTTCCAGGTTTCGGACACCCATACCCACTGATCTGAACGTCCCGTTTGAACCCAAAAGGCGACCGCGTCCCAACCAGTCGAGGCCACCTGTTCCTGCCCACCGCCCACCCGCCCGACAGGTGGTCGTCCGCCACGCGGTCGAGGAAGACCATCCCGACGAGGTCGACCAGACGACCGACGAGGGCGGTGACCGGTCCGGCTTGGTCGAAGAAAGATTCTTTTGTTGGATCCAGTGCTTTCCGACGTCGGCCATGCACTGGATGGCCGCATTGATGAACACCAAAATACCTGTTCACATGATGTTGCTTTGGACAGTTGGAGAGACTTTGGAGAGTCAAGGGTCAAACCATTCAGGGTCAAACCGTTGTGAACTCTTGATTTGCGTCCGGCACCCCCGTATTAGTACGCTTGGGTCGATCCTTGACCATCGATTGGTCGACGTCAAAGCAACGCATTGACTCAGATGCCCAGACACCGTGAGTCCAGTTTCAGGAATATCGGAAAGCATCAGAAGCAACAGCTAAAACGGTGTAAACCGCTCCCAGCTGTTTGATCTTCAGAAGAAACACATCGGAAAACCCAGTCAAAATCCATCCAAACCCAGTCAAACATTGTTTGGAAAATCCTTCCAAACACCGCTGGATCCAACCCAATATCGCATGAAAAGCGCATGTTTCCAACGATGTGAACGAAGAAGCCTTTGACGGTCGGTGACCTTCCAAGCTCAGACCCAACTTCCATCGCAAGCAGGGGCAGGTGTTGGCGGAGCCTTCATGGGAACGATCGAGTACCGGCAAGTTCTTGTAATCTTCCAATTCATGGAGAGACCTTGATATTAACTATAAAATTTGTCCGGTACAATTCATGGACAATTGTACCGGCAATTAAAAAAAAGAGGTCTCTCTCCCATGCATGGGTGTGTGTCTGGTGGTCCAGAATTGGAGAGACCTGAACGAGCTTTCGATCGATTCCTGGGGACTGATCTGATGACGTCGATTGAGATCCAACTCTGCGTTCGGTGCGTTCGGTGTTGGGTTATCGAGTAATCAGATCCTTCATGATGGCATGGGTGTGCCATGCCACCTTCAAAGTGACCTAACTTGAGATCCTAGAATGAGGTCACTTAGAGACTCCAAAGAGGTCACTTTGAAGGTCCAGGTGGTTGGAGATTTCGTGTGCCATGGTCAACCCGATATTTAGATATTTGCAGCTTTTTCAGTGCGAACTCCTTCAGGCCAAGTGATGTGCATGGCGCACTCACCCCGACCTTCGATGCCCTAAGGGGCCGTCCTCGGCTTCGGCCTAGCTCGGACTCCCCGCAGGAGGCGCGCTTCGTGGTGAAGAGCAACGCCACGATGAAAGCGGTGCGCGAGGCCCTGGCCGCGCACCTGGGGAAGCCGGAGCTGCTGAAGACCTGCCGCCTGGTGCAGCGCGTGGGAGAGAATGGCGCCTTCTCCTCCTTCAAGGCACGAAAGGGCTCGTCCGGTCTTTTTCTTCGTTCGAACACATGGAATAAAGGATCGAAAAGGCTTGCGAGTCTGCGAGTCGAATGAACGCTGTACAAGGAACTGAGCCATGGGGTGTCCGTGAACTGAGCCATGCCGCGTGTGGGTGTGGCTCAAACAATGGGACCCCAAGACCAGCAGGTTCTGGTCTCTGTTTCCGGGACCAAGTCGTTTGGCTTGCACCGTGCACCTTTACTCCTTCGCTGTGCTCGCCCTGGCGTTGGAAGGATTCCGAGAAGCTGAACAGCCGTCGTGCCTTGCTAGTCCTGGGGGTCCCAAGTTTGAGGCTGGGCCGTGGTGAGCAGTGACTCTCTCCTATCTGGGAGAAACTCCAAAGATAAAAGGGCAATGAAACAGCTTCTAAAAAGGTGCGGAGCACATAGTTTGAGACAACGAACTAAGTTGTATGGGGCTTGAATTCTTGCCCGGCAGGATCTTTCAGGGTTGTGGTTGTGGTTACCTTGCACATTCCTCAGCAAGATGGCAAACTGTCCTGGCGGGTCTGCGATCAGGACGGCCAGTGAGGAAGCAGAGGACCAGCCGTCCCAGTGGGCCCAGCCTCGACTGGATGAGCCAACTCAGGCATTGGCAGTCTCAAGAGAGATCCGAGACACGAAAAAAACGCCTTTTCCATCCTTTCTCAAGGGTCTTTCAATGTCATTCTTCTATGAAGGCACCCACAATGAGTTCACGTTTACTGCAAGTTCAGGATGTTCACGGACATTCTTCCGGCGCCAGCTTCATTCATCAAGGGTCCACCTGCCGCTTTGGGTGTTCTCCGTTTCGGGCACCCAAAAACGGTTGAAAAGCCTTTGAACCCTCAGGGGTGGAGGGTATCATCAACCAGGACCTGGATGTCTTGCGCACCCAGGACCTTACCCTCCTGGTCTTGAGCGCCTGGTGCATGTTGGGAACTCCCTTCCCCAATAGGGATGGGCATCATCCAACAAGAATGCACCTCTTCCGAACTGGGCTTTTCGTCGAGCCACAGACATTGAGCTTTCATCGGTCGACCGTCGCCATGTTTCGAGGCGAGCGTCCAGCCGCCGGAGCCTCCAAAGCTGACGCTCCATCAAGCTCTCGCGCTTCAGTAGCTCGGCATCATGCAGGTATCTATGCATGTCAATTCAACAGAATTCCAAGCAATCTTCCCCAACCAAGCAGCCAATGCGATCGAACACAGTCAATCCAGCCAATCGAACCTCATCCAATCGAACCAACGTTCACCACCGACTTCTTGAGGCGTGATTTGCTGCAAGGCTTCTCTGATTCCACCTTTCAAGCAAAGCGCAAGGCCTGGTCTTTCGGAGACGAGCCCGGTGAAAGGTCTTTCGTTTGAGCTTCCAAATCGCCTGCCATTTTAGACCTGCAACAAACATGGGATTCCTTGGCTTTTGCTCAATTTTGCTCTGGGTCCGTCGCAGTTCTTCAGGGTGCCATCGATTCCGTGTTTGGCTCGTTGAATTCGCCAGTCTCTGCCGCTACGAGCTCGGTGCGATTCGTTGGTGCGATCGTCCTGCTCGCAGGAGCTGGTTCAAGCCTATAAGCAGCTTGGTGGCAGTTCGAACGCAGAAGCATCGCTTGGAGCTACAGCTACGCATGGCGATGCCATGGCGATGCCATGGCGATGCATCAAGCTTAAAAGGGCATGGCATGGCTGTTGATATTCCACTGCGAGCCGTAGAAAGTGGTCCGTAACCCCATAGGCAAAAGAATCCATAGGAGGTGTGCAATGTGGACTCTTGATTAGATAAATGGGGGGTTTGCTTCATCAAGAGTCTTTGTAAATTAAGCCATACCAGTTTTTTTTGGTGTAGAGTGTAGAGCCGCCTTTGCTGTCCATTGGCATCCATTGGCCTCCAGACTCAACAAGGTCCAACAGGTTTTCTCCCGTTTTCATCCGTCGCGACGACCCGGTCGGTCCGTCGCTTCCTCCCTCGAGGCAGACCGATCCCAAGCGCTTCAGCGCGGAGCGGCAGAAGCTCTTTTTGTCGGTGCAGCCACTTGGATTTTTGGAGAGGGGACCATGGGACTGGGTGCAGTCTGGAGCGGCAGTCTGGAGGGGGAGGTTGGAGGTTGGATATGGTGCATTTACCACACAATTTGGGGATCTCACACTTTCGGCTGTGACCATCTGAAACCGTGTTGCTCTGGGGCGCAAATGGCTCACGTGCGTCAGGGCGGCAAAGCTGGGGTCCGGAAACGGCCCGAAGTTGCGGGCGAGCGGCGAGAACTCTCTTTCTGACGAAGTGTACTAATCCCTTTCATGAAGGATCAGCCCAATCTCCCAACTCAAAGCAGGGTTGTCACATCTTGTCACCAGAGTTCTTGCATTTTTGCTTTGGGTGGTGGAGTTCGGGTCATTTTCGAAGTGAGAAGCCGATTCTTCGACACAAGTTTCGTAGTGAATTCGGTGTAGCGGATTCGGTGTGACTCAAGTGCCATCCCTTTGAATGGTCAGGGCCGACTGGTTTGCCGAGACACACCACCAGAGCCCCGGGCGGCTTTCTGCGCGGTTCCTCGTGCCGAGGAAGGTGGTGTTGCCCAGGTATGGCTTTGAAGCTGGTCCAAAGGTCGGAAAGCTTCCGACCAGAGTGAGTCTGCCGACCCCATGCCGAACGAACTTGTGTGTTAAAAAATGAGTGTGCTTAAAGGCTTAAAGAGTATGGCAGATAGATGAAGACGGAGTGGTCGGGGAATCCCTCCTGTTGAGATACTCACATACCATACCATATTGCTGAAGTAGCTGATGTGTTTCTCACATCTACTTGGTGTCCTATTTCGCGAAGATTTGTGTCCTTCGGATTGATTTGGCAGGGAGTCTTCGACATGCTGGTACAATTTGACCAGTCAGAGCTTGTCATGAATCCCACCTTCCAGCAACAGGCGGAGCAGCTTGACGCTCATTCACCATCCGTATGGTCTGACCTGTGGGCATATCCGAAAGATCCATGATTTCTCTTTCCTTCAGAGTTTTGTTCCCAGACTTCGAGCTAGATATAGAAAATTAGAAAACAAAGCTGTTCACATCTTTTCGGCGATTTGAACATCTTTCTCTCTGCAAGCTACAACCCATTTCGATCCGATCTCATTGGTGCTATTGTGCGCTTTTGTGCCCTGCCCCAGCTCTTACTTACCTCCACAATCGCCTTGCAGGGCACTGCGCTGAACCATCTCCTCTTCCCTGAAGACATACCCAACGCGGCAGCTCCAGAGGCAGCGGTTTCCATCGGGCGGGTCCTCCTTCGCCGGTCCCGGTCCTCCCAACGGTCCCCCGAAACCTCGGACCGAGGCAACCGCAGCGGCCGCTCAAGCTCAGCAAGCTCAGCCCTCAGGTCGTACACTCTCCGGAAGAGGATGGCCAGGTGCTTAACGCGGATGGCCCTGCTCCCCAAAGGAGAGGATGACCATGAGCTTTTCCGAAGACCGATGTCAGGTATTTCAGGCTTTGTCGGAAGTGTGCACGCGGGTTCGACACGCATTCCCTGTGGTTGGCAGAGGTTCTTCATGATGAATTTCATCTTCCCAACCTCATTCCCTGCGAGCACCAATCTCTTTCTTTAAACTTGTTTATGCTATCCAGATGCTCCGAGGGGAAGCCACCAGAATCCAAGACCAGAGCACCGCCGCAACCAGTGCGCTATGAAGTAGCCGTGGACATGGAGGTGAGGATGTGCAGTTGCTGCTGGGAGGATGGACGAGCGACCAAACATGGAAGCGTGTTGATTCGAAAAGAACATAGAAACCCAGGAACGATCCTGATGGGTTGAACGGAGTTTGGTCACGTTCCTTTGCACTCTTTTGTCTATTTTTCACCTGCCACCCAAGATACTCCGTGACTGAGCTGGGCTCCAGGTGGTGGTCCGACATGCCGTTCAAGAAGGTCGCCTTGCTGATGAGGTACTGGTCCTCCGTGGTGGATGTTGAGTTCAGTCTGTAGAAGATCTGGGCAAACATGGATCCTTTGGCGGTAGGAGTCATAACCAGTGAGTCAGTGAGTTGTAAGCTTTGACTTCAGGAAGCGCGCTTTACGGTGAAAAGCAATGCGACCATGAAGGCTGTCAAGGAGGCCCGCACTTCAGGAGCCGAAAACAGACGACCTGCAGACGACCTGTGTGCTCTTCGCTTTCGGGTTGGCTCTCTGGCGTTGCTACGACCAGTCCAGTTGCCTTGGACGGCCCGAACGGCCCGTCGTTGGGGTACCGGGAGACCGTTCGCTACTCTTCTCGACTTGGGGGCCGAGAGTTCGCGCAGGCATTGGCCTCTCACTTGGGAAAACCTGAGTTGGTGAAGACCTGCCGCCTTGTGCAGAGTGTCGGGGACAGTGCCTTCTCCTCCTTCAAGGCGCGTTGTTCTTTCAAGAATTTTCTCTTCACATGGAGGTAGACAAGAACCTGAACCGTCTTGATTATATTTGATTATATAGAACTATTAACTAGTAGCATAGTAGCAATTTAGTGCCACAACCTCCAGCGTTTTTGTTTTTTGCCTGTCAAGGATGATTATTTATGAGTAGTGAATTCATAGCAGGATGACCCCAAGGTAGGTCACCTGCACCACATGTATGTAATTTTAATGTTTTTGTACTTTTTCCGTTGCTTTCTTGCGATTGGATTCTCTATCACGTGCTTGGCAGAAGTGGCTTTGGTAGCCTTAAACATGTCCGTCTCGGCGGGGGCGTTTGGGGAGGATTCGGAGAAGCTGAACAACCGGCGCGCCCTGCTGGTGATGGGAGTGCCAAGTTTGAGGTTTGGGTCGTGAGTTCAAGGGAAGACTAACACTCAACGTTTGGTCTGCTGTGCAACTGTTCGTTTTTGCAGTTGTTGTTTTGCGTGGTTGACTAAGCATGACAGTGGTGTATTGTTGCTTGTCACACTGGCCATGCCACAGACACAGAACTTCCGATGGTCAAGCAGGACAGCAGCTGAGGATGCGCAGGAAGAAAAGGCTGGAAGGACTAGCGATGGGTCCGAGTGCAAACGGTAGCATGGCTATGGCTTGGGTTGTCCCCCTCATCACACATGATTCTTCCCTTGAAAAACACATGGTTACGTGGATGGCCTGGTTTTCTTGGTTGACCATGAGTTTTCCGAATACAAAACAGGTGGTTTTCCATTATGATTCCAGGGAGTGTATGTCTTTAGCTTTAGTAGTCATCCGCTAAGTGTCATCGTGATATGATATGTATGTAGTTGTGATATGTATTCCTATCTCTCTCTCACACTTGACTATGCCAGTGTTCATATCTGGCCACTTCATGTTGTCCGGGATTTCTGTTTGAACTCCACCGCAATCATGACGCATGGGCCACATGGAGTATTGCATCGCACTTCACCCACCGCTGCGACGAGAAATTGGACCACCGGCGAAGGACACAGGCCGCAGCACCGCCAGAAAAGTCGGAGAAGCAGTTCCAACCTGAGGAACGACGTCCAGCACAGGCAACGGATTGGGGGTTCGCTGTTAGGTTGGAGGCCATCGCTTCTAGGTTGGAGGCCATTACATTTAGATACTGAGCGAACGTTCAACACTCTTGCTACAGATGCTACACATGCGTGTGATCGTCGTTGTTAGTCTCACCTTTTTATGTTCAAGATCTGCAGAAGTCGAAGATCTGCAGAAGTCGAAGATGAGGTCAAGATTTGATCGTTTGAGGATCATGATCCTTTCGATGCCCACATCGGACCTCGGAGGCTAGCCGAGCTCCACGTGTCGTGCAGCCGGAAGCTCCACCGCTGACGATCCCTCAAGCGTTGGCGCTTCAGTCGCTTGGACGGATGTCGCACGGCAACGCTGGGACCGGTGGCAGCCGCAACGGGTCCGACCGAAAGACCGTGGACGGCTAAAAGAAAGACCAAACAAAGACCAAGCAAAACCAATGGTCCAAGCCTCCTCTCAGTTGATCCCAGGCGCGACTTGCTCCAACGCTTCTCGGATCCGGAGTTTCAATCGAAGCGCAAGGTGGGGGTGTCTCAGCTGTGAGACAGGGCGTTGTCAAGCCGCGACCGTTTACGTCACAAACACCGAAGGAGAGTAACACCATTTAAATGCAATGGTTTTGAAGTGTTAGACCCACAGGATTCACTGATCTTACAAAAAAAAAGAAACACACCTTGACCAGTTGATAGTTCTTGGTTGCGCATGCCATGCCATTGGTGGCGCAGGAGCTCGTTGAAACCTACAAGCATCTTGGCTTTTGAGCATAATAAGGAGAAAGGAGTTGGCTTCAAAGAGTTGGCACTGCGACGAGTCGTTGCGGATGAATGGTGCCACAAAAAATACACAGAGGGGATTTGGTGTTTCCGGTCTCCACCAGTGGGGGGTTGATGGTCATTCGGCTTTAGTTCTTTGTGTATGGGCTGTATGGGCAAAAACATATGGAATGTCGGTGTATTGAGTGGACAACACCTTTTATGAGTCCCAAAAGAAGACTTTTCAAGGGTCCTTTACCACTCCCCGCCGGGGCCGCCTTGGCCATGGCGGCCAATGGCCTGCGTTCCGGAAGAGTGGCCAGAGTCGCCTTTTTGTGGGGAAAAGAGTTCTTCTCAGCCCCGCAATCCACGTTTCTACGGTATGATTGGGGATGGAGAGTAGATGGCACCAGGCCCCAAGTTTGGGTGGTTTATGTGGACTCCCATCTAAGACATTTCAGGGGTGCCAGTGCCATCTAATTACTTTGAGAACCGCGTTTTTATCCGGGGACCTGAAGTACAGTAGGCACCTTATCGCGGAACAGGAATCGTGGAACGACCGGTGCAGCTTCCGGTGGGTCACGCTCGGGCACTCGGACGGTTCAGCCGCGGAGGCAAAGCGACCCCAGACGCTTCAGCGCGGAGAGGCAGAAGCTCTTTCTGTCCGTGCAGCCACTTGGTGGAGGAAAGGACACGATGTTTTTCTTGAAGCGTCCCCCCAAAATGAGTGAAGTTGAAGGCTATGTGCAAAGGGGGATGGCCAGGGACAGGGGGGTGATTGAAGGGGATTCCGGAATGGAAGTGGAGGGCTTCAGGTGGCTGTGGCGTTTTTGGGACCAAACGAGACCTGAATCCGAGCAGACTTGGCAACGGAGAGGGCCGTCTTCCGAGCTCAGGAAGCTGGTCTTGCCACGCTATGGCTTTGAAGGCAGTCCTAAGGCCCCGCAAGGGTGGGCGCCCGGAGCTGCGCGCGCGCGGAGCTGGGCGCCCGGAGTAGTTTTTCTGCACTTGGTCTGCTACTTGGGGCGGGTTTGGGGGGGTTCCTTCCACGGAGAGAGCTATATGTGTCCATGGACCAATGTAACTACTCAACACCTGCCGTCATGAGCAACCATGACCTATACCACTTACATAGTGCAACAAATAGATCTTCCTCACAGGAGATGGACAGCACAGCAGAGCGCCAGAGCGCAAGAGCTGGGCTTGACTACACAAATCCAACAGCTGGGTTGCAGCCCGCTTGATGGGCTTGACTACATGGTCTTGACTACAAGAGCAGAGCGCCAGATGAGATCCCAGTTTTGTTGGTGCCTTACTAGTAGTAACAATGTTTGCTACTAGGAACAAGTGCATCGCTACTAGTAACAAGTGCCTTACTAGTAGTAACAAGAAGCTATTAGAATTCTTGTTTCTAATAGCTTCTTGTTACTACTAGTAAGGCACTTGTTACTAGTAGCGATGCACTTGTTCCTAGGCGCATTTCTCGGGCTGGTCTCCCGTAGGGAGTCTTCGAGATGATGGTGCAGTTCGATCGCCCGGAGCTTGTGATGAACAGCACCTTTCAGCACCAGGCGTGGGGGACGCCTGTTCTCTCAGGGTGTGAGAGGCAAGTGTCAAGTGTCCCCAGTTGTTGTTGTTGTTGTTGTGGTGCGGGAGGGAATTGGAACCATGGAGCTCGTTGTCCATGTGCAATTGGACAACGTCACTCATGCTGCTCATGATCCTCCACATTCCTGTAGGGGCCAAGTCGCTCAGTGCATCCATAGACATTCCATATACGTATGCAGCTGTTGCAGTCCTTGTGTTAAGATTTGGGGATGGGTCAGAATCTGGAGCCCTGGTAGGGACCTGCCAAGACATATATCCTGGTGCCATGACCCACAGCCACTTGCCCATTCTTTGCCCCCCCAGACATTTTGTGGCACTTCAGGGAGCTACCCTGAACTACCTCCTCTTTGCGGAAGACCTGCCCGAGCCTTCGCAGATGGCACAGGAAACGGCACAGGAAACGGCGCCACAGGCCTCGAGGGCCGAGAAGTCGCCGTGCCCTTCGGCCCTTTTCCCCCAGGATTCTTTTGTGAGATCTGAAGCTGTCGGAAGCTGCTCGTGCTAGTTTGATGTTGTGTGGCTGCAGATGGTTTTGATGGTCGTTTAATGCAGAAGACTTGCATGTAGAATTCGTCTGAAACTTCCACAAAGTTCATCTACCATAACCCTCAAGTGCCACCTTTCCCATCATCTGCAAGACTCACTGAAGAAATCTCTTCTTCAGCCTTGTGCAGAAGTGTGGGTCGGCGGCGGCCAGGCACCGGTGAAAAGCTCTCGAGCGGGAGAGCCCGACAAACTCTCGTGAGAGACGTGCGGTCAATCTCTGGCCCTTTGCCAACTCTTGGACTCGATGAGTACTGAGTAGTGGTGTGTGATCATGATTGGTGATCATTATGCCACATTGTTTGTACAGTTGTCCACCGTCCGATTCACGCTGCAGCTTCTCCTTTTCTGCCAACCGCTGCTGAGGGGAAAGGGCGCAAGCAAAAAGCACCACAAGCTGCAAAGGATGAAGTGGTTGTGGATATTGAGGCGTTGTCAATCGTTGATTCACCTCTACAGGAACTGAAAAGAACATATCTATAAATCATTATAAACATATCAATCAAGCAAAAAGAACTTCTCCTACAAATCACTGTTGCACTTCCAAGTCTTTCACGTTCCTTTTTCATGAAGCTGCTTCTCCGTTTTTCAGCACCAGGTGGTGCTGCGCCATGCTGTGGAAGAGGATCATCCTTTGGATGAGGCATCGGCCATTGTAGGATCATCATGTGGGCCAACGAGAGGCGCGTCTCGTTGGAGAGAGGCCTAGTCGAACCATTTTGTTGAACAATGACGACGGGGAACCCTGGAACCCTACGATCCGTGGGCCTAGTAGCCTGAAGAGTGATTGCGAACTCTGATGTGAGCCTCTTAATCCACCAAGAGACCCTCATTCGATTTCTGCGCCGACTTGAGGAAGCGCGCTTCACAGTGAAGAGTAATGCAGACATGAAGCAAGTGAAGGAGGCAGGAGCTCCGGGCGTCCTCATTTTACCGAAGCAGACGGATTTCGAAAGATGTTGACTTTCTTCTTTCTTCTTTTCTTTTGTCAAGGTGGTGAACATGTTGGAAGTTGCTGAATAGTTGTGTCATGCTGGTTGTCTTGGCGCATTTCCATCCTTCAACGTTTGGACAACTTCATTCATCCGTGTTCTATGGCACAGACATCCACGGTTCCAAGCGCAGATCCTGATCCTTTTCATAGTTTAAGTCTGCTTGCCCTCCCTAGACTGTGCATCCGTTCTCGGGGTTTGGAGGTGCTTTTCATTTGGGATGGGTCTTTTCCATCCACGAGTCACCGTTTTCACTCACTCACATGACCAGTCCACGTTTGGCACCCCGAACTCGGTTTGCCAGCCATGAACGGGTTGGACTTGGGAGGTGCCAGAGCACACCAGAGCACACCCGACCCAACGCCACGTGAAGAGCCGACACCGGTAGCACCTGACCATTACCTACGTAATTACGTAATACGTGATGCACCAAGACTGACCACTGCCATAGTGATGAATGCATACAAGTACCAAAAGGGTGCCCATATGATTTCCCACATTGCAAAGTGGTTTCAACTCCCACCCTCACCCAAACCTCACCAAAACCTCGTTTGCAAGAAGGGTCTTCCTGTTTTGATACCACCCTATGCACCACGCGTCGCGGGGCGTGGCCTCGCCAGGCCCTGGCGGCGCACTTGGGGAAGCCGGAGCTGGTGAAGTCCTGTCGCTTGGTGCAACGCCTGGGGGAGAATAGCGCCTTCACCTCCTTCAAGGCGAGACTCTCTCCTCGCGGTGGACACGAGCGGAGCGGGGTGGAACACCAGAGGAGTGAGAGATGTGCTTATGGGTGGGGGTTGAATGATGAAGTAAATCACAGAAAGGCTAGGAGATCCTGTAGTTTGAGCATGAATGATCATGATCAAGGTGGTACAAGCATCTCACACTGATTCTATGTCAAAAGCTGCCCCAAAAGATTGTTTTTCTGCTCGGTGACGCCCGACGCCTGGTACCGAGGTTCGTCGGAATCTCGCCTGGTTCGTCTGCAGAGGATTTCGAGAAGTTGAACAACCGCCGTGCCTTGCTGGTCTTGGGAGTGAATAGCTTGAGGCCAGCGGTTTGGAGCCAGTGGTTTGGGCGGCGGAAGGCTTGAAGACGGGCGCGAAGCTGGGGACAGTGAGAAGCTGGGGGTCATGGGGTGAGGGATTCAAGATAGGATCCCCAAAGGGTAAAGACAGGGTCTTGAACTCATCCATTTCATGGTTGGTTCCGACTGGGCTTGACGTGGGTTTACTAGGTTTGCACGTGTCGAAGGCTGTTTTGGGAAGATGCTGGCAGGACCGCCAGTGAAGATGCTCAAGAGGAAAAGGAGAGGTCTGCCAGGAGAGAGGAGAAACCTCAAGAGGAGAAGTTGCACCCGCTGGATAGAGAAGACCAAGCTTCACCAGAGGCTGGGCAGTGAGAAAAGGGACACTAGAAAAACTCAAGGATTTCCAAGTAAGACCAGACCAGCTACGAATCGGCTGGTGCTTCTGGGCCGCTTCGCCTCTAAGCGTGCCGTCACACGTCATGAATGAGATTTGGTGTGGGCTTTGGCTCGTGCTGAGATGACTTTGATCGATCCTCTGGGCCAAGCTTCTTCTCAAGGCTACCTGGACCCCTCCTACTCGAGTTGTGCAACCAGAAGCTCCAAAGCTGACGATCCCTCAAGCACTTGCGCTTCAGCAGCTTGGCTTGCAGGAGGATCTATATGGGAGTTGATCGAAAACCCCGTGTAAGGAGTTTTATATAAAACTGCCTTTCAGATGTTGTTAGAACCATCCGCGAAAGATTCGCGATGAAGTTCGCGAAAGTATCTTCTTTTTCCGCGAAAGATTTATCGAAGGTCATCGCTTTCATGTGTTTTCCTTTCTACCGGAAGGCAATCCTCCGGCAGAGCCGGTGGGCGGAAGTGTCCCCATATGTCACAGACTAACGAACTGAAGCCTCAACATTTCCGTGCCCAGCCCTGGCAGTGCGTAAAGGATTCTCCGATTCCTGTCCCCACTGCCACAGACTAGCAACCTGAGTAGGCACAGCCCTGACAGTGAGGCAACGACCTGCAGCTGCTCTGACGGGCTGTGCAGATGTTTGCAAATGCTCACAACTTTCAACTCATTTTGTCACCTGAGTTGCTCCAGAGCTTGGAGTGAAACTTGGTTGAAAACTTGCAGCCTTTTGTGTCAAAGCGCGTGCGTGAAGAGAAGAAGAAGAGAAGAAGAGAAAAAAGAAGAGGAGAAGAAGATAAGAAAGAAGAGGAGAAGAAGAGAAGAAAGAAGAGGAGCAGGAAAGAAGAGGAGAAGAAGAGAAGAAAGAAGAGGAGAAGAGGAGAAGAGAAAATATACTTTCGAGCGTGACGACTTTGCCCATCGCTTCACTTGTACTGTGGCGTCTTTTTTGCGTTTGTTGGATTCTGAGGCGCGCAAAAGAAACCAGTTCACATGATGATGTCAGTCTTTGTTCTGACTTGGTCAAGGTGGCTAGCAAAACCAGCGCGTTCTTGTAGTTGTTGTTTCCCCGCGCTTCTTTTTTGGAGGCTTCGCCGCCAATCTGCCACTCGTATTTCAGCAGACTAGCACTTTCTGCTTTCTGTCATGTACTTGTTTCCCAGAAAGGCATTGCGCCACTTTGGCTCATCTTTGGCTCTGCCGGCGTGTGTGTGTGTGTGTGTGTGTATTTCTGTGCTGGACTACTACTACTACTACTATTACTACTACTACCTACTACTACAACCCCTACTACTACTACCTACTACTACTACTACGACGACGACCCCGACAACTACCACTACTACTAGTATTGCCACCACTACAACTACTACTACCACCACCACTACAACTACTACTACGACTATCACCACCACCACCACCACTACTACCACGAGGACGAGCCCAACGACGACTACTCGTACCACTACTGCCACTACCACCACCACCACCACCACCACCACGACGACGACGACGACGACGACGACGAGGACGACGACGACGACGACGCCGACGCCGACGCCGACGCCGACGCCGACGCCGACGCCGACG